CACGTTTTGTCGAATTATTTGAGTCTTATGCGATGGGTTTTGGTTGCACGACTTGAGTAAACATCGCACAATTCGGATCTCTGGTGATTAAAATTACCAAATTATCCGGAAGCAAACTGGTATCAAAATGGTGTTTGCGAAGGTTTCGGTAGTCTCCCATTGGCTCTGTCAAAATTAATTCATTTTGGAAAGTAGTCGTATTGTCAATAAAATTGATCAATTATTGGAGGTGGCCGAGTTTCTTGGGGGGACCGGTTTTCTCCCCAGTTCATTGTACCTGCTTCCACAAGGACGAATGGGAGGCGTTCTCAGGGGATCCGTGGCTGGGGAGACGTCGAACTGCTTCCCGGCATGAAATTGTACTGCAGCCGTCATTCATATGCCCTTGGCAAGCATTGTTGTTGGCAAGTTGCATGGGTCACCTGCGAATGTCAGTTTATTTGCGTGGAGACAGCATCTGTGGTTTGAGGTCGAATGACGTTGCGTGATGTTGTCGTCGCGTTGGCAATGGGCGCATATCAAACACCTGTCCAGCGAACCAGCTACTACGCGATCCCTAGGCATTGATGCTGCGACATTTATGATTTGTCGGACAAAGCGCTCCGCGGTATTCGGAGTACGAATAGGGGAGGAGGCATGTGAACACGCTGGACGTTGCGCCGCCCAAGTTTTCGTATGCTATACCCACTTAGTACACGCACAATTATCCTGTACTGCAATGCCAAAATTTTCAATTTATGCGCTCCTGTGGCCAGCAAATTCGTTATGTTCTCGTAGGGTGGAGCATTTGGTACAGGGAACGACGGAAATCTTTCCCCCGTGGTACTAATGTAAAATCTTGATATTTGTATGATTGTACATTTTCAGCTTATGAGGACTGCGTTGTTATTGGCCAAAATTTTGTAATTTCGACGTCAATGAGTGCTCGCGATCAACTTGTTCGACCAAGATAAAAGTACTATTAGTATATTCACAACTAGTTAATACTTCCAGTAAACCACACCGTCACTGAGACGGAGCCTTCGTGGACGACAGATTGAATACCCCACAAGGCACTTCAACCCCATCGACAATCCTTCGCTGTATCATAGCCAGCCTCTTCTCGGCTGCGGACACCACAGATTTCGCGGAGCCACTTGCTCGTCAGATAGCTCCGCGTCCAAAGTGTGAATCGACTAATCTTATTGTCTTGTACAATCATATGTTGTTTGTATTTGTATTAATGTCTGTATTGGTCAGGTTTTTCCTGAGCGAGTCATACAATTTGGGCAAATATAACAGGACAGCGTTTTCTCTGTTGGCAAACCAATACGAATGTACTATGTGTACGACGACGAAGAGGTGGCTGCTCGTTCGGTCAAGTCAAAGCGTTTCATAACCAAGGTTATGTTTCTTGCCGCAGTGGCATAGGCTACTATATGACCATCATGGCAGAAGGGAGTGGGACGGCAAAGTTGGAGTTTGGCCCTTCGTTCAAGAAGCCCCTGTACAGCGCGGCAGCAAGAACCGTCCGAAGGGCACCATGGTCATCACCCCTCAACTGTTGACGCACCACATTATTTGAATACAATATTGAATAAGGTTGCCCCCCCATCCAGGAAAACTTTCCTGATTTGGTAGACTGGGTAATGTGCTGATTCAGCAAGACAATACAAGTCCGCACAAATGTGTTACCACTGAAATGCTTCGTGCAAAAGGAGTTATCCTAATTGAAGTTGCGAACTAGTCGCCGAATAGCCCCGATTCAATGTGTTAGACTTAGGATTCTTTATTTCTATTCAAAGCCTGAAGTACCAATAGCGCACCTAGCGGACCATCGAGGAGCTTATTGCTGCTGTAGAAAACGCGTCAATGCGTTGCCGACTGACACGTTTGCAAAGACTTTTGTAACTCTTCAAAAAGTTATGGAATTGCCCATTGAAATACATGGTAGCAATGGTTATAAACTTCCTCACATGAAGAAGGACGCTCTCAATGCGAATTTGCATCGCATAATGTCGAGTTTGACGCCTCGTCTTACGAGAGCGCTTTTGCTCATTTGAATAGCCGACTGCGTGAGGAGGTTCACCTCGATACCTTGGTCAATTCTCTTGAATAAGACACTAAAAAAATACAATAAAATTATTGCAGCGTTTATGTCGTATTGAAGTTGAATACAAAAATCAGGACGTGTCAATGGAGCTGTGCATACTTTAATCAAGTAAAAAGTACCTGACAATTTTTGTGGAATGGAGTATTGCGCAATATTGAAGGAATTTGTTGTTCAATTGTTCAAACAACGCACCAGATATTTCTGTTGTTGTGAGTGAACGAATAAATGTCCCAGGATGGTAGAATACATGTTTTAACTGAATTAATCATTGTGCGAAGTTATCTTCTTGGTGTGATATAAATGAAAACAATTTCGCTCTGGTGCGATGTTTAGATATTTCTGGAATAAGGTAAATATGGAATTGTTAAAGAGGGTCACAGCGAATGACAGCGGTCACCAAAATCGCTCAGCCAAAAAGCAATCTTACTTTGACATCTTGTGCATCTAAGCTGATCATGTAAGGATAATACAGTATAACATTACGATAGTAGTAAACGGAGTATCAATAAGAATGTGTTTAGTTTTTGTTTGACGACAACAAGATCAAATTGTATCATATCATGTGCTTGGACGCAGATACTATTGTCATCGATTGAAAAAACTATTCTTAAATTCCAGGGGATCATTTTGGATATCCATTGTATTAATATTCCAGAAGTATGGTCGAGTACCACGAGGGAAGGATTCCGTCGTTCCCTGTACTCTCCGCACGTTCAATCAAGCATAGACTGAGTGTCTGTGTGGGGGTGGCAAGTTCCACCTTGGCAAGCGGCACCCCCGTTATTTGCACACAAAATTCGTTCTGTACACTGCGTCATCCAGATCGATTCCGTGGCGAGTGCACTTTGACCTCTGGGTAGAAGCGTATTTTCATATCGTCCATCGCATTGTTCGCATTTGAACCAAACGATCAGATTGATCTTGGTTGCTAGGTATTGCTACCAAGAAAAATGATGCTTGTGATGAGTCTTGATGTACGTGAAGAGATGACCATGGGTTAGAAAGTGCTCCCCGTCTCTGACACCAAGAAAAATGATGCTTATGATGAGACTTGATGTACGAGATGAGATGACCATGGGTTAGAAAGTGCTCCATGTCTCTGACATCATTCATGAAGACAAGGACCTCGGAAGAAACAGGAGGAACTCAGCTGGGCTTCGATGTCGACCGCACGTCGAATGTGTGTGCAGCCGAGCGATAGTCCTAGGTTCAGGCTCAGGCCGATGCTCCAGGAACATTTCACCCTGGCTACAAGGATGTTTAGGGTCCTGGCGTCCGGACGCTGTGCTGCATTGCGTGTGTAATGAGGGGATATCACTTCTTACTACGAAGAGAGGGCAGTTGTTTAGTAATGAAGTCACTATTGGATTTGTCATCGATGTCGCCGTTGTGAACACGGCAAGCCGTCGGTTACAAACACCGGCGCAAGACAGCAAATATATCTTTTGCTGTCTTTGGACACGCTAGCGAGTGTGAGCATGGTGTTTCCTACGAACTGCGACATCCGTGCTGAGGACGTGGAGCTCCCTGGTAGCGACCACGATGGCTCCGCTGGAACGCAATTCCGATCGGGACTTTCAGCGAGCCCGTCGGCCCGTGCAGAGAGCATGGACCGTGCTGAAGACCGTGGACGGCCGCGAAGGAGGACTTCGATTCGCCGGCTGTTTCGGTCGCCCGATGGCGCCAACCGGTTGCGGCTGATGAGGCGTGGCCGTTGCACGAGCGACGTTTACGCCTTTGTGTCTGGCCAGACGACTGGGACAAGCTCTGGCGCATGGTTCGTCAGCAGCGAAATCACTGTCGATTTGTCCAAATATTGTGCCACGCTCTGTCAAAACCATTCATGAAAAGTCGAGTAATACAGTGGAAGAACCGAATGACGTGGATATGGGCCAGGATGATGTCGTTTTGCGTAACGCACCTAACCTACCGAAGAACCCGACGTTCAAGCGATCCACGAAAGATGAGCGTCGTGAATTCATGGCCGCGTACAGCTTGTACATCAGCCAGACGAACGCTCTGACTGCGATGGTGTTCGGCGCTTTATCATGCCTGTGGGAGCGTGTATTGAGCCGATGACGAAACAACGAATCGCCGAGTGGGACCTCATTAAGGACCTTGATGACGTATCTGAGTCTGCGTGGTTCAAGCAAGGTTACGTCGTGGACCCACGTGCGTTGGAGACGCTGAAGAAACGCATCAAGACCACAGTGGTGTTTGACATGTCCATCCCGGACGCGGACTCCCGTATTGGTCGGATGCTGGATGGTCTGGCTACTACTATCCTCCGGGATCGCCCAGAATAGGTGATCAAGGAAGAGAGCTAAGTGATCGTGAAGATCATCCAGGACGCCATTAAGCCGGCGTCACTGAACCGGGCGGTTGCAGAGCAGATGGTTCTGACCCGGAACAAGCCCTTGAAGAAAGACGAATACAGACAACGAGGGAATTTAAGCCACACTTTGAGTCGAAGTAAATTGGAAAACAGAAATCTAATTGGACGCATATCTTCGAACTACGAATTATTTTATGACCAATGACAGTTCTCAATTTACCAGCTT